TTATATCAGTGTTAATTGACTATGTTAACTTTTAATATATTTTACGATTATTTTTATTATGAGACAAACGGTAAAGATTTACACAACAGATAATTATCTTTTTTACTTTAATTCATTTTTAATTTTATATGTGATTCACAGAATTCAACAAAAATGTTCATTATAATATTAATAATTAACGGTTTCTAGATAATATGTATTTATTTTGATATAACATTAATTATATTATAATTGAAATAAGGATATTTATAAGGAACGGTAGATCATGTAAGCTTTACAGTCGATTAACGCTAACTGTAAATTAACTGCATTCTCTTTTTGCATCTATACCGCAGTTACGCTATGGTCTAGAAATGGACAGAGAAGCATTAAACGAAATCTGTTAACTGAATCTTCAACCCAAACATTTATAATGAATATATCGCCAATTATGTAATTATCGAAAATTGCCGACTCACGGGATATAGCTGAATAATTGCCATTACATATTGCTTACTATCCTTTTTTCTTATGTCATGGGCTCATTAAGATATTAATGACGCTACACCTGACATTCGTAGCTATCGTAATTATCGCGTATCGTCAAATTGTGTCTTAATTAAATGCCCGTGCAAACGAGCTGCGATGACGATTACGACTTGCATTTCACCGCCTGGTCATTGCGACTCGCTTTTTAACTTCCTCAGCCGAATAGGGTGTACCTTTATTACTAACGAGAGTGTGGTAACAGCCGCTATCTAATTTTCGTCACTCATTAGTAAAATTGCGCAAGCAAGTCCGGTACGAATGGGATTTATTACGGTTCGATAAACATTAAATAATAAGACGTAAAACTTTCTGGTCCAATTATTTTTAGCCGAGCGCACCAGAATTACTTTTATATTTATATAAATTAATCTGTACCGTTTTTTTCTTATATTTATATAAATTAATCTGTATATTTAATTTTGCAAAATGCTATAAAAATTAACGAGTAACATTATTATTTTGAAAAAATGTATTGACATACATTACGAATGTCTTTTATCTTTTAAGAAGAATGATTTGTTATCTAATAAGAAAATAATTAATAATTAATAACAATTGATTAATAAAAGATCTAAAAATAGTAGATAAGATTAAATAATGAATAAAATGTCTGTAAATTTTCTTTGCTGTAAAATATTAAAGTAAAAGTAATATCGAAGTTCTCGAGATTACATAAATATTTTAAAGTATTATTAACAATAAAAAAATTATTTTTTTCCCCTTTATTTAAAATGCTGAAACCAAAGTTAGTTTAAATGTCTAAATATGTTAAGCACATAAACATATATCAAAGGAGATTAAAATATTTTACTAATAATACTCTCTCTTTGTTAAATTCGAGTGAATTCACATTTCGCACGTTTTAATCAAAATAAAATAAAACGCTTAATTATAGTATATATATTATTAAACATAATAATCTAGCAAATAGATATTCTCGCGGTACTCTTTTTTTCTCTTTCTCTTTCTCTCTGTTCGTCGTATTCCTCGCAAATAATTAGAGGCTCCTCTTCTTCAGGATCGAGAAGCCGTGAATAATAAATTCAGGGGCGCTTCTCATAATAGTAATTTTTTCGTACAAAGAATCGCCGACCTCGACTTTTCTCCCACACGTGCGATAATAGGATCGATTAGCGAAAAGCACCGATCTAATTAACTCGCTTCTTCGAATCGCGCTTCGTCGCGGCCGACAAACGCGTTGGATGAGAAATTATGCAACGTTTAACTACATGCAATTGTGATTTTCTTCGCTCTCGTTCGCATATGAATTCATCCGCGATTTTACGCTGTTGTTGATCGACAATCGCAATCGACTAAAGAGAGAGAGAGAGAGATAGGATTGAAAGAAATTAAAATTTCTAAAGTTTTAAAAAATACGATCTTAAATAGAAATTCTAAAATAACAATTTTAGAATTGATTATCAAGATCGAATTAAGAAAGTAAACAGTTATCGTCAAAACAAATTTTCTGCTAAGAAGAAAATCGTTAGAGAATTTATGTATATTACTTTACATCTGGAGAATTTATAAGAGATTGCGTTTATTTTGATGATGGATTATCTAAATTTTTAAAAGTTTTTTTTACGGCGAGGAATCTATTTCATCGTTCCTTTTTTATCGGTTTGTGTTAAATTTCTGTTCATTGTACGATCCAGGTGGACCCGATTGCGCTACCTTATACTCGCCGACCGGACTCGTCACAGGCCATTGCCTCGCGATTACAGATCTCCCTACATTCGCCTTCCTCGTTGCCCCGTTCGATTGCGCGCGCTTGGCATTATCGTTTTCTTCGAGGGAAAGTGAACAAGATGCAACGCAATAATGCTTGCTTTTGACTGGCCATAGTGCCACGATATAATGGTAATTAATTCGTGATTAATCGTGGACCTTCTTTCTTCCCACGGTCGCGATGATCATCTCGTCTGGGATAGTGCAAAATTTTTACGAAAAGTTTTATCTGGTAATATGCTAAGAAAAATATTGGTTATTAACAATTTTAACAATCTCCAAATAGGAATTGTGAGAAAGATGAATATATGCGTGATAAAAAAAATAATAAATTAAAAATGATCACGGTTATATTTCAAGTTAAGAAAAAATATACCATTGGCGCATCTGGCATATTTAAGACTTTTTAGTTCCATTTATGTCCCGGCCGTTTCTCGTTTCTAAGACATATGTTTCACTTTCTTTCAAACGGGATAGCGGTCTGACGGTGCAGAAAACGATGAGGAATGTTCATTGAAACAGACATTGGTACACATTTGTAACACGGAGGTCCCATTCCTCCTACCGTATAATTAGATTAGATGCGGTCCGGAGATCGGCGCGTTTTGCAATAAAAGCGAAATATCCATTTCATCGCGACTTTACGACAGCAAACGAAAGTGTTAAAATACTCGAGACTGCGAAATTCAACGGTGAATGTCCCCAACTCTTTGATTTTCTAATTCTCAGAGTTTCATTCTCCTAGTTTGAAATAGCCAGATCAATTTTTACATTTCTTACATGGTGAGATTTTTCAAAAGAAATTTTACATAAATATACTGAAAAAATTGCATTGATATGCTAAGAATTATAAAAATTATATGAAAAAGATATCAAATATATCCTCTATTGTATGTAATTAAAAAAAAAAATTTGACAAGTAAAATAAAAAGTTATACAAATAGATACATTAGAATGATTTTAAGATTATTGGGAAGGTGATATCTTGATTATACTTATGCACGAAAGGTACGAAAAATGATTGTAACAGGATGACCGACAAAATCGAAGACAGTAATGCATTCGTGCCAGTCGCGAGTTTCGCGGCTCCTTTCGATGATATATGGACGATTCGTTCGGCGGCTGTTACTGAATTTTTATTTCGCAAAATGTGTCGTCATCTCTATCATTGACGCTGACACCGCGTTCGACGTGTCGCAAGAGTAGGACGAGCGGAGGATCGGAAATTAGACAGGAGTCGTGAGTCACGACTTTAGAAAGGATCGTCCAATAACAACGGAATTACCGCTGGTAAAATACGCAACCGTATGCAATTATATATCCTCGTTCGCGTGCGGCATGCTGTATTCTGCAAATTGCAGATGCAGTCGGCCCGTCGATCCGAGTGACGCCGTTCGTCGACGACGGTCACGGATCTCTCTGACTCATTGCACCGGCAATAAATATTATTAGATAGTATAGTTCGATAGCGAATAGCGCTTGTATGTTTAGACAAGGACACGGTTCGTAAGCCCGTCGCCTTTATTTAATTTTTCATACCTTTCATTAAAATTTATCAGGACTTTCGGGCTAATTTTGACGCTCTATATCGATATACTGTGTTCTAAGATAACTGTACACAAGATATTACAGGATTTTTCTTTAACATGATTTAAATAAGACGCTAAAGAGTCTTCCAAAAATACCTTCTTTTTAATAATTCGTGCTTCTATTCGCAACTTCTCTTTCAAACGTCAGAGCCTCGTTGCATAAATCATGAGCGACAACGAAGGAAGTAACGTTCAGAGACCGTAAAAATTGTTCGTCTCGAGTGTGATCCATTGCATTCAAGAGACTTCAACCTCGCATGTTTTTGCACGAGCACCGGTATTTCTGGCTGGCGGCGTATTTATGCTACACGGCGACGTATCGGCGCGCAACCACACCGCAACTAGAGCGGCGTCGTTGCTTGGAGAACGGGAGATTCATGACTCATACAGCTGATTGCGAGTCGCGGGATGCAGCTTCCTTGTTTGCGCGCGCGTTTACGGTAGTCCTGTGCTAGGCCAATTAAACCCATCTGACCCAGTTGGACCCTGTAATAGCTTAATTTTATCGCGAAAAAAGTTTTAACAAAATTTATCCCTGATACAATCTTGTTTTATATAAAAAAATATATAATTAAATGTGTATGTATAAACTTCAATTTATTTTTAATATTATATCAAGGAGAGACCCATACAGCACACAAAGATTGCATACATATTGTAGCAATCTTTCACCGCAATATTGCAACTTTGCAAATTCACTGCAAAATGTTGCTGCATCATTGCTGTGGAATTGCAGCAATGATAAAATGTCCGCTTTTAGGCTACAAGTGTGCTGGTACTTTGTGGCTCTATATTTCTGCAATGTCTTTGTAATATTGCATTGCAATTTGCAATATTGCAATGTTGCTGCAATATAATTGCAATGATCTGTGCTGTATGGGGAGAACCTTCTCCTTTTACTAAAAAAAAAAAAATGCTTTCTGCTTGTCGATCCTGTAAATTTGCACGTATCCTTCTCAGAGGCAAAATCCTCATACAATGTCAATTAAGATAATTGTATAGAGAATAAATCAAATGGGGTGTAATTTTTTAATGTCGCTAACATTGATAACTGGAAATTTAAAACTACTCGCGAAGAATTATTTTATTGATAAAAATTTTGCCGCGAAAATTTCTCGAGGATCCTCTTGTTCTGTTCTCTTTTTAGTAACATACCTTTTGTTTGTTGGCGTCTCTCGCGGACTTTAGGGATCGGTGAACTGTAGACCTGCGGGTATGTTGACGATCGGTCGATGAGTAACTATGGGAAACCAAGGCCGTGCCTTCTAGCTCGATAAACCGACATCAAACCACTCGACCTCTCGTCTGCGAAAGCATGTAACATCCATACATGTGTATGTTACATATTTTGTATGAATATAACGGTAATGACATTTGACGACTGATAGTGATCTGGCGATCTTTCAGCTTTGTTAATAACAAGACAATAAGACATTCAAGATCCTTCTCTTAATATATCTTATTATTCAGAACAAACGATAAATTTTAATGCTATCAATGTAATTTTATAAGATTATTGTAATATTAATAATATTAGTAATATTAATAATTTTTTATTATTAGATTTTATTGCATCTCTGTTAATTATATTAATGTATACGATCATTATATATACATATATATCATGAAAAACGAAAACTGATCAATCTTCATTATCATGCTATATGTATATCATTACGAGCGTAAGCAAATAAGATTGCGCGAACATAGCTTTTAGTATCGCAAGTAATTAACAAAATTGCCTCACTTAGTAAATGAAGTTAATTAACGTTAATGCGCTTTATTTAGAATCTGCCCGCGTTTTGCGATTGTTGCGTCTTATTACCGGCGGCAGAGTTTGTTATCAGGCATCAAGTTGAGAAACTCCATATGTGGGAACAAAGCAGCTTACGCGGTGTGGTCGTCCCTTATACCGTGTGTATCCGCGACGAAACCAGTTCTCGTGTCCTTTTGTTACGCACAAAAGCATCGTGTTTGCACCTTTGTCGGCCAGAGATCTTGCCAGACGATCTTACGTTCGAATATAAAAATTTTACTCTTCCTTAGCACTTTTCTTCTCCTTTTTTGCTTTAATTCAACAATTAGAGGAGAAATGACCGAATTTTTTCTTCTGCCATCTCTTGGAAAACACTTGATTTTTAAAGAAAAGGAAAGTGAGATAGTTGGCTAAGCGGTCAAATTGTGTCTAATTGTATGTTAATAAAATTGCGAGCTCCTTTCACTGGGTCGTTCTCTCAACTATATCTGCACTATCTTGATTTCATATACATTAATATGAACGTCGTGAAACGTAATTTATGTATACTAACTTATACGCTGAGTTTCTTTTTTCTCTGAGTTTACCGAATGACGCCTGTGCGCGATGTAAGACACCGATTTCGTGAAAGGTATAATCAGCAAGTCTTTGTGCCGTAATATCCTTTCGAATTGTGCGTCTGTGTATGTTTAAATGCTTCTTTTAAAACAGAAGTCATTCACATTTTACGGTCGCTAAAATTTGCGTCAACATTTTTGAGTCGACATTTAATTAAAAATTGCTAATAAAAAAGAAAAATTAAATTTACATTTCTCTAATGGTTTAAAAAATTATTTTTACATAGAGTTTGGAGCAAGAAAGGCATCTACTGCGAAGGAAACTCGAGGAAGCTAGAGATGACAGCGAAGCAAGGGCCTTAGAGCTTCAGGGCGACGTGAAAACCCTCAGGAGTCAGTTGGAGGAGCAAAATGAGAGGGCAAGGAGGGCGGAACGCGATCAAGCCGCTCTCGTCGCGGAGTTGACGGCGCAAAACACAAGACTGGCCAATCAGCTAAGGGAAGCCGCCAGACAGGAAGAGCAATTGCTTGCCGAGATGAAAGTCCTGAGGGAAAAATGCGCTCTCAGGAGCACGAGCCTGCAGGATCACGTCAGCAGCTTGGAGATTCTCAGGGACGAGGTGAATATGAATTTTTGACCTTGACCCAAGCGCATAATTACATATAATTAATCCTATTTTGCATATAAAGGCTCGATTTTTACAGTCATCTTTTTCTCGATTCGTTAATGTTACAAGTTCCTACTTAGAGTTTCCTTTCTGCCTAATCGATCCGCGAGGAACGGAAGTCATCATTATTAATCATTATCCATCAGAAACCGAACGCGAATCTCAGGCGGGGCTTGCTGATTAATTCACAGCATTCTTTTTATGAAAAGGAAGCCAGTAATTGTTGTGCTCATGTTCGCACGTGAATTTACGAATACAATCTGTGGGAAAATGCTATCGAATAAAAATAAACGCGACCTTCGATCGATCGATTCGATTAACCTCGTCCTCTCTTCTCATTTTACGATAGCAACCGGATATCGACATCTTAAGAATCATTCATGAGCATATAAAGTTTGCATATCTGTCCCACATAGATATATAAAAATAAACTAATATAATCTTTAAATAAGATGCATTTCGAGCCATGATATTTATTATATATATGCTAAATTATACTTTATATTACATCTTATATTATATCATACTTTTAAATTTTTTATGCAAATCCGAGAAGGAAAATTCCTAAGCTAAGATTGAACAAAGGCTCGAAACAATAATTAAATTGCGATATAAAAAATTACTATTGGTATATTACATCACACGAATCTTACCTGCGTCGTTTCAGGTACAACTGGTATCGGCACAAAGGACTGAGCTAGAAAGGCGATCCTTGGAACTGCGAGAGGAGAGGGCCAGGGCGATTGCAGCTCTCGAGGAAGCCGAGGAGAGAGCCGCGGCCTTGGAGCGGCTCAGCCACGAGGCGGAACACCGTGCGAGAGTGGCTGAGCAAGAGAGGTGAGTCCCAGAATTCGCAATCTGTAATGCAACTATTATGGTTCAGTTAACGATCGCGCGGATAACGCTCGATTAGATTTTGTCGATTTTCACGAGAATTCCAAAGAATTGACCACGTGACAGCCGTATTTTAATCGTAAAAGCGGAATATCAAACAGACAGTATTGCGTTCGTTATATCTTGATTTATATTATATCCGTTATTATTATTTTTTTTTTTTTTTGATATCTATTTTGTATTTACTTGATCACATTTGAAGTATTATTAATGATCGTTAAAATACTTTCTTAATAATCATAGAATTTAAAGATATTTTGAACAACTTTTCCAAGATTCTCTTGTAATGTAGTACCATGTTATTTTATAATACATGCTGTTACCTTTAGGGACGAATTGTCATCGGCATTGGCAGCCATCGAGGCAGAAAGGAGAGCCCGCTCCGGCTCGATACAGAAGCCACCGCGGTCTCTACAGGCAGAAATGGAATGCGAGGAGAGCGGCAGCTCGTTGGAGGAACAGGAGGATAGAAGTTTGAAGACGGAAATGGCGAGGGCGACGAAAAGGCTGAGGGAGCTGTGTGCTCATCTGCGACGAGGTGAAGACGACTCGGGTCTGCAGAGCGACTGCGACGAATCTATGCTGGTGATCAATCTCAACAACTCCGAGCCAGAAGTAAACACGAATGAACGAGAAGCTCATTCTTCGCCGGTGAGTGATTCTTCCTGCGTAGCAACTGTATCTTTTATTACAAAAATATAACATTAGTTACAGATTTATTTAAGCAAGTATATATTTAAAAAATTCGAACCATTTTCCTCTTCTAGACGAATTGCCCGGGCGCGCTGCTAGAGCTGGTCGAGGAGGTTTATAATCTCGCGCTGTCGGGCAGAGGGGCACCCGGTGAACTAGGAATGGCGGTGGAGCTGCATAGGGTACGAGAGGAATTAGAGCATTCACGGGATCAGTGCAGGATACAGGAGGAAGAGCTGAAACGACGCGGCGACACGATTCTGGAGCTGACGAGCAAACTTAGCGTCTGCGAGGCGGAGCTGCGTGGAGTCAAGGAGGAACGCGACCGGGCCAGAGGCGATATCGAGCACTCCGAATTGACAAAGGATGAGATCGTGGCGAAGGCTTACAAGGTGCGGGATCAAGCGGTAGCCAGGCAAAATAGGGTGGAGGTGGAACTAGCCAGAACACGAATAGACATCCTGCAGGCGGACAGCCAGCTGAAGGAGGCGATCAAGCAGAAAGTCGAACTAAGTCAGCAACTGGAACAGTGGCAGATGGACATGCAGGCGCTCCTGGACGAGCATGTGCGAAGCAAACTGACCCCGGCTTCGCAAATCGTCGCCACGAGAAACGGCGAGAACTCGGACATGTCGGCACCGGCCAGGAAGAAGAGGAGCACTGGCTCGACGAAGAAGATGTTCGGTCTGTTTTGACGAAAGTGACGTAGCGCGATGGCTTCGTTGCATTGAACTGAAGCGATCGCGACTGATGTAGACTGTACTTTTGGTTCCTGCACAGTTATCTCGTTATAGAAAAAGACATAAAATGGAGAGAGAAAAGATAGTGCGAATTTAGGAGTATTTACTATTTTAAAGACGATTAAATATGGACACTCAGCTCAATTATAATGAAGAGAGAGAGAATGTTTCAGATTATCTTCTGTCATTCTTTTAAAGTTATTCTAAATGACTTTATTTTCATGGCTCTTGCGTTATATGGACAGACATCGAATCTGGATTAATCTTAAACTGGCGATAATGTAATTAAAAAGACTAAGATTAGCCGCTCTCGAATTAGATTCATATGGACTTAAGGGCTTTGCGATTTGCCCTGACATGAAACATTCGAATATATAGGTGCATGACATATTTACAAATGTTTACATTAGTCACGATGAAACACCTTGGGGAGTCTATTATATCGGTGCTGATGCCCGCGTGTCGACACCGATTACAATTTAAGTGACGCATAACATTCCACTTTCCCTAGTCGATTTTTCAACCAGGGAAAGTCACGAATCGCGACTCTTCTCGAATCGTTCTCGTGCTAAATTGTTGCGAATGTATTTTTCATCTTCATCTTGAGATTAGTCGTGGTTTTTACGTGTCATTTTTTATCAAGCGGCTCGATCGATGTAATTCACCAGAGACTGTTATTATTGTTCATTTAACTTTGTAGACTGTTGATGCAAAAAATCTAATGGCATAAAATTTTGCATTATGCTGCTAACGTGGAATCAGCAAAATGAACTCTATTTTATCAAAAATAGAAGATTCTTGTCAAGGTTTTCTCTTCAAAGAATTGAAATTTAATTATATAATTTAAAAAATATTCCTTTTCCTCAAAAAGTAATTTTATATATATATGCCGTTTTTAATTCTGAAATTTCTTCATTGCAAACATTTTTCTAATTTTCTAATTTCGTCTTTATCGTATTTTATTTTTATTCTTAAAGATTAGAACGGTTATTGCCTACGATCGAGCTTTACTCAAGACAGTATTGATTGGTCACGATTCTTACTTGAGACAGAAAAAAAAATTAATCATCGAAAGGTGATGAAAGAGTATAAAGAATTAATGTCCCGGC